TTTTTTTTTCCTTTCTAAATGGAATTGGATGCCATTTTATAAGTGAAGTATTTATACTGGCCAAATGTTTTTACTCGTATTCCTTTGTCCTTTTTTGGTAGTTCTGTTTGTTACCCACACCATTTTTATGTCACCTTCACTGAAGGGCTAGAGTTTTAACTTTTAATTTTTATATTTAAATGTAGACTTTTGACACTTTTAAAAACAGAAGAGAAGATGAAAACGTTTGATTATTTTCTCAGTGTATTTTTGTAAAAAATATATAAGGGGTGTAAATTGCTGTTTTGGATTTCCTGATTATAAATAGGGCTGCTGGTTAATCTCTCTCACTCAAAAATCAGTCCCTACTTTTCACCATGTTTACACTCCAATCTGCAGGCTTCTTAAAGAGACAGTATCTCTTCTATCTACCATTCAACTCTACTTGTGAGTTGAGAGAGGGACTGAACTCTAATCCACTGTAGGGCTAATTTCTAACAAATCCTCCCTCAAAATAAACGTTACATTGTACAGAGAAAACAATATTTTTCAGGAAAAAGGGATCCTGTAGCTTTAACTTCAAAACCACATCTTTTGCACTTTTTGTAAGCAAAAACAAAAGTAAATGAAAACCATGCCATTTAAATCACTGGACCTATCTAAATGCCGATTTGAGTTCGCAACACTTATGTACTGCATTTTTCATTCTTGTATTTGACTATTTAATCCTTATACTTGTCGCTGAGTATAATTGTTTTAGTCTCTTATGGCATGATGATAGCATATGTATTCAGGTTTATAGCTGTTGTGTTTAAGATGAGAAAAAGTGAAAACATCTTTGTACATTTAAGTCTGTATAATAATAAGCAAAAAAAGATTGTGTGTTTATGTATGTTAATATAACATGACAGGCATGAGGACATCTGCCTAATGAAGAGGTTCCGTTAAGGGTTTTTTAATCTGGTTTCCTTTTTTGTTTTTTGGTCATCCATCCTGTGCAATATGCTGTGTGGAATATCTTTGTCTAAGGATCTGCCCATAATAACAATGTTGGGTGGGAAGGGGAGGGGAGGGGAAAGCTGGCTAATAAAAGCCAAGTTCACTGCCTGTCAGATTGTCAATATTCTTTCTGTAAATAACCTTTTCCCCAAAGGAAATAAAATCAGCTGGAACTGAACCCTAAAACCCTGCTCCTATTGTCATTATTTTAGACTTTCTGGCTGTGTATTTTTTGCCCTGTGAAATGAAAACATTTTACAGTGATGGGTCTTGTATATGCTGTTAATACAGAAATGTGTCCTTTGCCCCCTCCCCTCCCACTGAAGCTTCATCGCTGTGCATCTTTGGATGTGTTCTATGCTTGCATGCTTTCTAGGAATAGGCATGTATTAAGGAAATGTTAATAGCATTTTCAGTGAAAGGCCAAAAGACTAGAATGGGAGATGGGCTTGTGCTCAGAGAAGACCATTAGAAGGGAATGTGCTTTAAAAAGCCCTATAACCATTTTGTCCTATCAATGTGACCTTGCAATGTGAATTCCTGACTTAACATCCTTGATTGGGGCACTTCTAGAGTTTCCAAGTGAATTTTATAGCTGAAGAATTACATCAAGCTTATCTTCTATTCTTTGAAAAAAAACATAATTTAAATGTTCTTAGCTTGATTCATTGCCAAAATAACAAACTTATTTATCCCATAACCAATTGCAGAAGACCCTATAACAAAAACCAGGCAGAGAACTGGGAACAGAAATACACACTATGAACAGTCTTTTTCTTGGTGTGAGTCTCTTTGCAAGGTGTCATCTGGCCCTTTGTCTTTTATATAACCCCTTTTCAAGCAGATGTGAAATAGGTCAGTAGGCGAACTGTTAAGTATTGTGGCAGCTTTGATGAAGCTTAGAATATGCACTGCAAACCAACTGGGGGTGGGGAAAGAACCTCTTACATAGCCACAAACTCAGACTTCGAATTGAATTCCACTGTTGAATGCATATGCACTGAATATATCCCTGCTCAACTTATACTTAATACTTAAATGTTAAACAAATCCTTAATTGGAAATAAGCTAAGTTTTTTAAAGTAAGCTTCTTTTTCAAATGAATCCGGTAAATTGTGAGCACATTTAATGGGCTGCTAAGTACTGGTATGGTTATGGGAGAATGTCACAAAAACATCAATAATGGCTCCATTCTAATAGACAATGTTTCGATGATGAACTTGCGCAGTACTGGATGGACACTGTCTTCATGGATTCCTAGAGTACAATAGATGAGCTGTGTTTACATGATAATTTATCTACTGTTTGCTTGACCGTGGTTTACACAATCTGCTTGCAGGACCTAGTGAACCATAAACTTAACTACATGGGTTGGGTTAGGTTTCTATAAGCTACCAGGGTATGATATATGGTTTGGTGGGCTTTTTAATGAATGAACTGTTAAACATAACCATGAACTAAAAGATACATTTGGTTTTTAAATAAGGAGCAGAATACTTAGCATAATAAGACAAGCGAATGTTTACAATACTGCATATGTTTTCATTTACAAAGATTGCCAAACTGCACGATTAACGAGAGAGAAAAAATAGAAAAATGTTTCAAAATATAGCTGAATCCTTTGTAGCTTATTTCATAAACTGCCTTCCCTAGGGATTTTTATGCATGAAGGAACATTTAAATAGGCAGCTTATATTCTGTTTGCACTACACATTTCCCCAAGGTTAACTATATTTTGGAGTCAAGCTAGCATTCTGGGTTTGCATACCATATTGATATAGCCATGTGGGCTGGAATAAAATGTGGCCAACTAGTTTATGGTGTGATATAATACAAGAAATCTTACATAGTATAATTCAGATACATTAAACTAGTCCACTAGCTTGGATTATCACAATGGGATGCATAGTAATCAGTTGTTAGAAAGCTTTGAGGAGGCAGTCTCTGTGACCGCCTCCTGCCACATACCTCCCAGCGTCCGATAAGATCTCACAGGGTGGGCCTTCTCCGGGTGCCGTCGACTACACAATGTTGTCTGGCGACCCCCGGGGGAGAGCCTTCTCTGTAGCTGCCCCGGCCCTATGGAACAATCTACCCCCTGAGATCCGGACCCTCCCCACTCTCTTGGTCTTTCGGAAGTCTAAGACCTGGCTGTTCCGGCAGGCCTGGGGCTGCTGATCCTTGATTGTGCTCCAGCCCCCACTGAGATTGAGTGTATGTTGTGTTCCTTTTAACTGCTTTGTCTTTGTATTTTAAATTCTTTTAATATTTTTAAATTGTTTTTTATGTAAGCCGCCCGGAGTCCTTCGGGATTGGGCGGCATACAAATTTATTAAATCTTAAATCTTAAATTTATTAAATCTTAAATCTTTCTAATTTTGCAGATAAATGAGTAGGAATTAACTGATGTTATAAATTAAGTGAAGGCTATATTGCTTATATTTATAGGCACTGGGATTTGTTCCAAGTTAAAAGTCTCTTCTGGATTCTTGAAACTCTATATATTTTCAGTTTAGCAGAGATTCAGAAAATTTTTATTAAAATGGGATACAAATATTAAAAATACTGGTTTATCCACACACACATTCAACCATAGACTATTTCATT